CAGGAAGGGCTTTTCAGCAGGACCCTCAACAGTGGACAAGGGGTCCCGCTTGTAGTTTAGTATAGTCTCAAATATAGTCCCTAGTAAGGAACCCATGTCCATTATTTGTTTTGGTAATATTGACTGTATGAACCCTAAGCCTTAAACCCTATATAACCCTGGTTTCTATTTTCTGTCCATTGTCCCCATATAACCCCAATATAACCACAATATTTAGCTCATCTGCAGATCGTTCGCAACCGCTTGGCATCCTTGAGCCCGCGATGCGTGAGGAGCACAAGGCGATGGGTAACTAACATGGGACCTCCTGTAGCCTCCCTGCACCGGGTTGCTGTTAAGGAGCTTATGAATTAAGATACCATTGTATGGGTATGGTAGTAAGTACGGCGGTTTCCTTACTCAGTAGTACCTTCAAGTAACAGCAGCCCAATAAACGGACAAGGGGATACACCATGCTTACTAGCACAAACGGGCTACGACATTTTGCTACAGTGGCCGGGCACTGGTACATGTGGTGTCTTTGTTGCACACCTGAGGCTGAACATGTGGTGTTTTGATTCCTGTTCACCTCTACTTGTGATTTGCTACCTGTACATTATCTCCACCCGTATGCTTGTATCTTCAGGCTGGTGGTTCTCTACCCAGTACTCAACACCCCTGGTAGAGCTCAATAATAACTGTCCCAGAATCCCTGAGAAGCTTTTTCAAACGCAAGCTGCGACCTCTATCCACTGTTACTGGGTGGGGCCGGAAGCAACTTAGGGAGATGGATAGTAGGTGTGTTGATCATCAGAAACTGCGCTGAGGACCCAGCCGTGGGTCCTGTTTTTCAGGCTCCCCCAAGGCCGCCGCCGCATGTCATATGGGACCTTCCGGAGTCCTTAGGGAGGTCATGGGGCGCCTGCGGGATTCCTTAGTGTGGAGTTTCTCAACCTGGGAGCCCTTACGTTCCCAGGGTCATCTCATATGTGGATCTTACGGGGCTAATGTGCCGTGAGAGGATGGGAAGGGTTATTGCACGGAACATTTTGATTTCAGGATTGGGTTTGGGTCTGAGCTCTGGGTTATTGTGATGACTCTTGTAAAGTCTTCCGGCGATCGTTGTTTAGTGTTGCCAGAAAGGTGTCATCATCATCATCATCATCATCATCAGCTTCATCATCAGCTTCATCATCATTCTCCCTAAGCCCTAAACTTAACCCCAGACCCTAAACCCTGTGCCGCGGTGAAAATAGGTCCGAGAAAAAAAACCCTGGATCATTTGCCGTGCCTGCGCTGCTGTGCGATGCGCGTGTCTAAACCCTGGATCCAAAACCTTGAACAGACACGGCGCCGCGCAGGGGTTATATGGATTGGACTGGACGTAGGCACTGCTACGGAAATTTTAAAAGGTGTGATGGTGACACTTAGTGTAGCGGTCATTCATGACGAAGTCAGCATATGGCAGGTGATTATTACTGACGGCTTCGGTTGGAGTGCACAACGCAGTCTGGGCTGCTCCAACGCTGTGACAGCCCCAAGTACAGTAATTATTGAACTGTCGTAGTCATGATAGGGGCCCCCTCGTTCTCTCTATATGTGTGTGTATGTATATGTATGTATGCTACATGAATTTGGGCACACACAGGTATGCTCAACACACTTCTTCTCCCTTGCCTGCGCTGCGCAGCGACGCGCCGTGCATGGTCGCCAGCAGAGGCGCCCTAGAGAGTTTCTCAAACTTCGGAGAAGTCGCAAGAAGTGATAGAGCCATACTACAGTCACCAATGATATGGTCCTAGGTTCCTGGTAGAACAATTATAGGATAGTGTATCGCGTGAGGGTGATCGTGCTGAAAACCTGCCTTGCATGGGCGACTTGAGCTCGTGTGTAGTTGTTTATTTAGTGCTGGCACCGTCCTGCCCGCCTCATATGTCTGTATCAAACTGAGGCATTCAATCATTCAATTCATACGCTGTCTGCCTCAAGGCGAGTGGCTGGAGCCTTTGACCATGGGGGCTGCCGACCCGGGCCTACAGGACTTGCACTTGAACCGCTCCTTATAGGGTCATTTTCAAAAATGGTTCTACAGTGACGCAAATGCCACCAAGGTGAGTGCTCACAGGAGAAGGAAGCCCGTAGAACTTTCACTCGCCCTTGCAAGAACTCTCCCTTTGGTGGGGTGACGCATTGCCTGTGGCCAGGAGGAGGACAGGACGCAGCTTGCTCAGCGAATCAGCGCGTGAACCAGTGAACGTGTGTGCAAGCAGCCGGTCGTGCAGAAAGGCCTCATCTTCCTGTCCCTACAGGTCGCTGGATGGGTCAGGCACTGGCGAGCTGTGCTTGTGAAGTTTTCTTCTCAGAATTTTGAGTGATTGTTTCTTGTGAGGCATTGCTGGGAGAGGAACCACGCGAATTTGACCCGGATGTTTTGTGGGCAAAGTGATCCCCACTGTACATCCTGGAGTCATCCGAAATTCATTCAGGCTTACCTGTGACTTTTACGGCATTTGAGTCTGTATACAAGGCTGGGATGGAGTTTTGATTCTATGTCATGGCGCACTGCAGAGCCTGTGGTTAGTTGATATGTACTCTCGACTCGAGTGCAGCTTGTTTTCGCGGCTGCAACATCTGCATGCGGAGCTTTGCTTCATTACTTGAGCTATAGTCTAAACTCCTTAAAAGGGTTACATAGCGGACTATTGTAGGGGTTATCAAGGGGGATACTAGGAGTTTAGACTGTGGCTCATCTGAAAAGTTAAGCAGCCCGCCGATGCGGCTGCATAGCTACCCCTGCACAATCTGAGTATAGCTCGGTGCATTAATTCGCCGCTGCAGCTGGGACAGTCGGACGCGCCGCCTCATCGCAAAGGATTCTCGCTGGGTGTCGCGAGGTTCGTGCAAGCTGTGACTGCTTTGCCAGCAGCATGGCATGCTACATGGCATGTTGTGCGTCAATTTGGTTGCTACGGCGCAGCAGAGCTTTATCGTAGGAATCTAAAAGCACGGTCGGTTAATGCACGAAGCAACTTCTCACTAACCGGAACTGTCTTGTCAGAGGCTGTCATTAATTATGGTCCCCCTTGAGTAGATAGAATGTGGGGTACATGGGGATCGAATTGTAATATACCGCAATCCAGATTCTATCTAATTACTAAAGGGGGAATATGCCTATACCTGCTTTTGGGAAACTACCAAGTTCAAAAAGCCAGTCAGAGTCATGTGGCAGAACCTGCTGAGCAGCGGCTTGTACCTGGAAAAGCAGATGTTTAGCATACTGCCCATAACATGTCCAAGTTTGATGAGCAGGGAAACTACGGGAACCTCCCCGTCACAACTCTAAAAGCACCACTAGCTTTACCCTGCTGGCAATTGATAGCTTGCTGGTTGAGCAGGGCCACATGGCTGCAGCCTGCCACCACCGCGCGGGACGCTAGCGCCAGCGCCGCTTGGGCCGTTTTCTTGCTTTATTTGGTCGGTAGACAATGAAGGAGAAGGAGAACTAGTAGCCCTCCTTGTGCATTTATCAATGGAACTCGTAATGAAAGAATCACCATGCTTTCTCATTTCTTATGCAGCACAGAAATCATCATGATGTGGGGCTCTGATTTGCTGATTCCTGTAAGCTTCATGCGAAAGGAGTACGAGGAAGGCCAAGGACAGTTTTATCATTCCCCTTAAGTAGATAGAACATGGGGTATATGCGGATCTTTTTATAATATACCCAAAGCCATATTCTATCTACTTAAAGGGGACCATATAATTCCAGCCCTGGCACTTGCTGATGAGGATGCGCTGATGAGCCTGTGCGAGGAGGAGGTCGGCACGGCTCTCGTGCACAGTTCGGCAAGTTCAACAATGAAAGGGTCCAGGGCATTTTGATGAGACGGGTCCTCCGTGTCGCAGAAGGACTTGCGCTTTGATTTGGCAGATCAACCACAGCTTCTGTTGTAGTGAGATGGACTGGGAGAGAGGGAGGCGGTTGGGGTCGAACAGCTTTGAGAAGAAGAACAGAGAGTAAGATGGCTGTCGCTTTGTGTGACTTCTTGGACCCCAAAGATAAATACTCCGGCCCTTGTGGTAGCGACCTGAACCGAACACTCGCGGGCTGCGCGGTTCGCCGCACTCCTCTCTTTGAGGGGAGGATAGCCTGTAGAAGAAGAAGAAGAGAGTGACTATTTTCTCGGTGGTGGTCCTTGCAAAGGGGGGATATTGCTCGTTCGTGGCGTTCTCACGCACCAGTTGAGTAGGAACGAAACTCAAGAATGGGAGACACACAGGAAACGTGGATTTAATATAGCAGGGACCCCGCTTTAGACATGTGAGTTACTGGTTTGAACAGCACTTCGATCGTCCTGGGTGGGACCGGACGGGACAGCTCTGCATGGGGCTCAGGGCGCAGCTTTTGGGGAGGATTTAGGGTCCTCCCCATAGCGAGGAGGGAGAGAGATAGAGATAAGAGGGGTTGTATTGGGGTCTTATAGGGGTTATATTGGGATAATGGAAAATTTGATGGAAACCACTATTTAGAGCTTAGGGTTTAGGGTTTAGGGTTTAGGAGACAGAGTGGGTTGTCACGGATGCCCTGCACTGTTTTCCTTGTCTTGCGGGACCAAATTTAATGCCTCCAGTATGACGGACCTCCCTGGTCGGACCAGACAGAAGCAAGCTCGCAGGGTTGCGGCGTTCCCCCTTAGGGTTTAGGGTTTATCTATGAGGAGAAGAAGAAGAAGAGTGGGTTGTTGATGAAACGCCACGACCAAACTGACCCATCCTCGCGCCGTGCATGGTTACGTGCAGGGCGCCTACTCTGAGCCGGACCGCGACAAGTTTGACGCGGAGATCCTGAAAGAGGCCGCGCTGTCAAGAGGGTGTGGTGGTGGTGTAAGATGAGGCCTGCCACATGAACACCCTGCCAGAAAGTGACTCAGCACCACAAACATAGGGTCCCATTTGGAGGTCCCCATGATAAATGAGGATCATCGCATTTTGGGGTCTATATTATGTTGGCTTCCCCCTATTTATGGAACACGAAGTGGGACCCCTAAACCCTGAAGCCCTGAAACCCTAAAACGTCAAAGCATAAACCCAACAACCCAAAGACCCTAAATCCTAAATCCCTGAAACCTAAATCCTAAATCCCTAACAACTGAATTCTAAATCCCTAAATCCTAAATCCCTAAACCCTAAATCCTTAAACCCTAAATCCTAAATCCTTAAACCGTAAACCAGGAGGGCAACCGCTTCCTCAAGGATCAGGAGCCCGAGCTGGCCGTGCAGCGCTACGAAAGTGCGTTGGAAGTCCTAGGCCCCGCCTTCAGGGTTAAGGAAAAGAGGGGTTCAGGGTTTAGATTTTAGGGAAAAAGGGGTTTAGTGGTTAAGGAGGGTACGGCCTTGGGGTTTTAGGGTTCTAGGGTTTCAGGTTTAGATTTTATGGCTTCGGGGTCTAGAGGGTGGTTTTGAAAGGGGGTCGAGGATTTGGGAAGGAAAAGACGTTACCATCATGTGTAGCACTAGTGTTTAGTAATATGCCGGCCTAGGAGGGCCCCACATTTTGGCTGTCTCAAGCGGGGCCAAAATCAGCTGCTGCAGACGTCTGTTTTTGGCTTTTCTTCTGCCTAGCTTGCCACTAAGTACTTTCGGATAATTCAGGTTAAGCCCTAAACCCCTCAACCCTAAATCCTAAACCTACTTATTGGAAGCTGCTCCAGGCGCTCCTTTTTGCCGTTCTTGCACTTCTTCACAGGATTAGCTTCATCATCAACAGGTCACATGAGCCATAGTCTAAACTCCTGAAAGAGGCTCAGAGGGTTATGTAGGGGACCATAGAGGGCCCTTTGATAGGGCATGTGAAGGGGGATAGCTACTAGGAGTTTAGACTGTAGGTCAAATGGTCTTTCGCACTTCTTGTCGTCCTGACTGTTCCTTATCATCCTACGCCTGCCGCAGACTGGCCCAAGCGAACCGAAACTTCTCGCAGCTGATACGCCGTAGGTGTAACGGCAACTTGTGCCATGACAAAGGTGCCTTGGTTGTGTTCAGACATGAAGCAAGGGCAGCTCAATTGTAGGAAAGCTCGTATTACAGCTCAGACTATCCATCCGTACCCTAGCCCTACACTCCTGAAACCTTGGATATTGCGCCCACTCACTAACAGCTGGAGAACATTCATAAATCAACAAGCCATATAGAGCCCTTAATATGATCCCTCTTATAGACTGTCAATAGCTGGGGGCCACCTAGAAACCCGAATACCCTGCACCTTAAGGTAGCGGCCTTGTCCAGCACTCTGAGGTTCAGTGCACAGTTTTGGCCCTCTTTACATGGGCAATGGCCAGGTCTGCAGAGGCCAGATGACCATTTTAGTCTGGGCAGTGAACTAGTTCCTGTTATCTTGTTGGAGGAGATTCCTGCCGATTGGGTGTGTAAAGTATGAGTGTGTGATTGTGCATTGATAGTCGTAAATTTCACTGCTTGAATTGCGTGGTCAATTGGCCGGACTCCAAGAGTGATTGGCCTGCCGGGCTATGCACAGCAGCTGACGAACCCGAGTCTGCGAGAGAGGGAGAGAGGGCTTCTGCACTACAACTTTTAAAGCCTTGGGGTTTTATAGGGGATATAGGGGTAGCACATAAGTCTTGAGTATTATTGCTATTAGTACTATTCACAAACTAGAACAACAGTACTACATCATCCTATGACTAGTCCAATGTTTCAGGTGGCAGATTCTTGGGTTGAGGACGACGGCACCTGCAATCTGCAAACCAGGACGGAATTGCAGTTTCTGAGTACTGAGATTTTCGGTCGGAGAAATTCATGCAGCAGTACACAAAACCATGCCCATATTGGAAGATGACTGCCACATGAACTGTAGTTTTATCTCCTGGAAGGTTCTTTCTCTTGGGGATTTCATAGGGTACTATGATAGGGCTTGTGAAGGAGGATACTAATACTAGGACTTTAGACTATAGCTCACACGGATGCGTGGCAGGATGCATCAGGAGGCTGAGTCGGATTACGTCCCCAGCTTGATCGACCAATTTCTCCAAGCGCCGCTGCCATCACCGAACCGCAACCTTACAAGCGAGAATCCGTTCTTTGGAAAGATACCAACACCACAGTAGTACGTGAAATGGTGGCCCTCTGAGATGTTTTCATAGGTTTGGGGCTATGAGTTCACCTGCTCCGGCCGGGTCGAAGTACTTCTTGATGGCAAGGTGTGCCGAGGGTGGGTACGTACTTTAGAAATGTAATCGAGCCCTGGACTGTCCCCCCAAATTAGATTCCCAACCCTAAACCTTATATAAGTTATATAAATATTGGGTTTATATGGGGAAAAGGGAAAAGAACATGGAAACTACTATAATGGGTTATATAATATAGCCCATTATACTAGTTTCCATGTTCTTTCCGTTTTCCCCATATAAGCCCAATATAATTCTCACATACACCCTACTATTGGAGCAATCAGGGGTCGGGGTTGTTTACAGGCAGGGGAGGGCTGCCCTCAACCCTGAAGGTAGATATAGGCGTTATAGGGGTTATATTGGGATAATGGAGGAGAAAATGGAAACTACTATTGGTTTACGGTTTAGGAATTCGTTGTGGCTCAGAAATTTTTTTATTCCCACACACATTCTCGTCAACAGCGTTGAGAAGACAAGTGCTGTACATCCCAAAAGATAGTTCGTTTCCCAAAACAGGAGGACCTCAACATATACCCCCAAAATACTTTAATCCTGATTATTGGGACCCCCAAAATGGTCCCCCTAAAACCTGCGCCATGACATTGGCAAACCCTCAACCTTACATCATGCCACAATGCGGGAGGAATACATATGTGTGCGCTCGTATTGTATACAAACAAGATCAGTGTAGGCCAAGGCCTATATTGCATCCATTTGTACATATCTCTCTGTGTCTACAACTGCCTCGTCAGAGTGTGTGTCCTTCGGGTACTGCCCCCACTCTGTTATATGTAATATACACTGTTACAGGGTGAGGTTAGTCCCCCCAAACCCTAAACCCTAAACCCTAGCCTGGCGGAAAAGGAGCGCTTAAAAAAAAAACCTAGTTAAACGAGGAGTATCCTCACGCATGTCATCTCAGGTTGGTCTTCCTGCATCAGGCACGTGGAGCTGGAACGTCCCTCCGCAAGCTCATGTACAACTCTTCCAAGACTCTGATGGGAAAACATAACTTATCTATTTATGTATTTTGCGTGTCATTCTCCACTCACCAAATGTAAGTTACCTAACCTTGTTTTAACCGAGTTGTCCATTCATGTTTTATGTTGTTGTCCATTTGATTCTCCATTATTGGGGTAACATGTCCCAAACCCTTAACCCTAAAAAGTAGTGTCTACTTTTTTTACCATCATCCCTCTACTTGGGTTTGTAGTGGTTGTAGTGGCAACAACCCGAAGCCCTAATTCCCGAACCCTCAAGCCCATATTACCACTTAGGGCTCCCAAATTTCCTTATTTTGCAAAATTTCCAAAGTTTAAGCTCCAAAATCCGCCCCCAAACCCTAACTAACCCGAACCCTGAACCCTAAACCCTAATCCATAAACCCTAAACCCTATAGTCCCCCTTAAGTAGATAGAATATGGGGTATATGGGTTCTATCTGCTTAAGAGGGACTCTAATCCCTGAACCCTAAACCCTAAACCCTAATCCCTAAACCCTAAACCCTAATCCCTAATCCCTAAACCCTAAACCCTAATCCCTAAACCCTAATCCCTAAACCCTGAAGAGGAACCTTGGGCTCAAGGCCCACATCCCATGTTACGGCGGGGTGGACTGCAATGACCTCCGCATCTTACTGGTACTTAAGGATTTAGGGGAATGGGTTTAGGGTTTAGGGATTTAGGGTTTAGGGTTTAGGGTCTAGGGATTTAGGATTTAGGGTGAAGGTTTCGGGTTTAGGGTTTAGGGTCTAGGGATTTAGGATTTAGGTTGGGTACTGACCCCCC